GCCGCGTGCCAAACGTTGCCGACCCCTGATCTAGACCATCCCTGACAGATATTTGTAAGGTCTTAGAACAAATTTTGAAAGAGAGAGAAAGACAGATAAATGGTAACTGGGATAAAATACAAAATGGTTTTACAAAAAGTAGATCATGCTAAACCAACCTGATCTCTTTCTTTGAGAAAATAACCAATTTTCTAGACAAAGAAAATGCAGTAGAGTTAATCTACCTGGATTTCAGTAAAGCATTTTATACAGTTCCACATGGGAAATTAGTAGTTAAATTAGGATGATGGCAATTAATGAGAACAGAAAAGTGGGTAACAAACTGTCTAGAGGGGAGACTACCATGGGTCAAGCTGAAAGGTAAATTACCAGGCTGGGTGGGGACTACTAGTGGAGTTCCTCAGGGATCAGTCTTGGGACAATCTTAGGGCTGGTCCACACTAACCCCCACTTCGAACTAAGATATGCAACTTCAGCTACGTGAATAACGTAGCTGAAGAGAAGTATCTTAGTTTGAACTTACCACGGGTCCACACGCGGCAGGCAGGCTCCCCCGTCAACTCCGCGTACTCCTCTTGCGGAGCAGGAGTACCGGCGTCGACGGTGAGCACTTCCGGGATCGATTTATCGCATCTAGACAAGACATTATAAATCGATCCCAGAAGATCGATTGCTTACCGCTGGACCCGGAAGTAAGTATAGACGTACCCTTATTTAACATTTTCATTAATGACCTTGGCACAAAGAGTGGGAACGTGCTAATAAAATTTGCAGATGACACAAAGTTGGGAAGTACTGCCAATATGAAAGAAGACTGGCATATCATATAGGAAGACCTGGATGACCTTGAAAACGGGAGTAATAGAAATGGAGTAAAATGAAACATAATAGCACGAAGTGTAAGGTCATGCACTTTGGGATGAACAACAAAATTTTTTTGCTATAAATTGGGGACATATCAGTTGAAAGCAACAGAGGAGAAACAAGACACGAGTGTACCGGTCAACCACAGGACGATTATGAGCCTCCAATGCAATGCAGCAGCGAAAAAGGCTACTGCAATATAGGATGCATCAGGAGAAGTATTTCCACCAGAGACAGGGAAGTGTTATTACCTCATCTGGAGTACTGTGTGCAATTCTGTTGTACCATGTTTCAGAAACATGAATTCAAAGTGGAACAATTCACTGAAACATTCTGAAATAATCTATCACTGACGCATTAATACATACTCAAATTTGCTCAATCCAAAGGAAAAAGTTTAGGTTTGAAATCAGACAAATGTTCTAACCATTAGAAGACTGGAGCTCTGAAACAGCCTTACAAGGGAAGTAGTGGGGGCAAAAAGCCTAACTTGTTTCAAGACTTAGCTTTACAGAGGGGACTGCATGATGAGGTGGCTTATAATCACATATGGCCTATCCATGACTGCTCTTAGGAAATGTGTCCTATCTTCAGCCATTGGAGATAAGATGGGGAAGGGCTCTGAGTTACTACAGAGAATTCTTTACCAGGTGTCTGGCTGCTGGGTCTAGCCCACATGCTCAGGGTCTGACTGCCATGTTTAGGATCAGGAAGAAATTTCCCCCGCCAGATTGGCAGAGACCCTGGCGAATTTTTTGCCTTCCTCTGGTCCGAACTAGAGTAAATTGTGGATTCTCTGTAACTTGAAGTCTTTAAATCAAGCTTCAAGGACTTCAGTAACTCAGCCAGAGATTATGGTCTTATTACAGGAATGGGTAAGTAGGATTCCGTGGCCTGAAATATACAGGAGGTCAGAGTAGATGATTATGATGGTTCCTTCTGGCCTTAAAGTCTGTGAGTTATTCCCCTATGTAATACAATGGTCAAGCAGTCTCTTCCGAAAGACAGGACACCCACTGCGGAGGAAAACAATGGTTGCTAGGTGCACCCTTAGTGAAGATCAGAAACTTTATTTTGCTGAGGATGATAAATAGTTCAGGATAAGCAAAACTGAACTGGTTTGGGAAGAACACCCACATTTTCCCTCATGTTTCATGATTTTTCTGTTGATCAACAATTAAATATTTGATGTTTAATTAATCTGATGAACATGATTCAATTTTTTGAATTATGTTCACCAAAAGAGTCAGGCAGCTATTTAGAACTGGCATTAATCAGTCAAGTATTCGAATCATGTTAATTCTTGACAAGCAGAAACAGAATATAATTCAAAAGTATTGAAAAAAATCAAGTGCATCTTTTAAAATTAATCAAGGATTTTGCCCCAGACAGATCAGTAATACATGTTCTTATTTTATTGTACCTGTGTAGGAGAGCTAGCTTCTTCACCTTGCTTCTTTTTCTTCTTCTTCTTCTTCTTGGATTTGCCACTAGTACAGCTCTGGAGAGTTGGCTCTGCTTTTTCTCTCTCATCATCTGAAGCCTGAGTATTAGACGTACAAAACTGAGTCCAAAGAAAGTATAATTTCTCACTGCTTTTCGCTGACCTTCTAAAGATGGTATGCATGTCAATCCTTTGTATTGTTTGTACTTAAATTCTTAAAGCTGCAAATGGCCAGATAGATTGAACTGGTAAAATTAAGAGTATTTTGGTAATAGAAAAACATTCTTTTCATGCTATTTAGCAAACACTATCAACAGCAACTTGACTGGCAAATGGCCAAGATAATGACATATTTGCTTTGCATAATCAAAATACCAAAGTCATGGTAGGCACTATGAGCTTTCCTCTCAATACTAGCGCAATAGCTCGACATTTTTAGTCTACAGTGAGCACTCTACTTCTATCCCTTCCTTTGTAAATTACTCCAGAGTATAGCGGTAGAGCCAGTGCTATGATAAGCTATATTAAAGATACTTTGAAAAAATGTCATCCACCTGCAATTTTATGGGAAGGCTGCAGAGCAAAATGCAAGCACTGAGAAAATGTTCATTTTAAGGAATTGCTGCCCTATACCAATCCTAATTTGGGCAATGAGGAGTGAAACATTAAATGTTTTCCTTCTTGACTATTGTGCTTTTATGTTTGTAACAATAACTGCACCACTATACATATTCAATGAAAAGTCAATGTAATGTGGGAATTAAATTGCCTGTTTATTGCTACCATGCACTACTATAATCCAAAAAAGGTAGTAAAGGATAAGGTAGGGAATTTAGTATGCAATAAGTTAGGTTATCTACCTTCTGAACATCAGATAATGGTTCCTCAGGCTGTGGAATAGAAGCCTTTTCTTCATCTACCCAGTTCCCCCACTCTTCTGCTGGTGCATTCCAATCAGAGCTGGGATCAGCAGAAGAAAGACCATCTACGAAGGTTAAAAATAATGACAGTTTCAGGAAAACCTACTTATTCTACAATACGATTGTCAGTTTTCAGCAAAATGCCAAAAGCACTTCAAGAGTCAATCCTGTAATAAACTCTACATTTTCTTGCTGTTAAGATAGTACAAACTCATTTTTAATGTTATAGATTTATTTTTATTAATAAGTAGAAGACGCTTGACGAGGGCTTGAGGTAGGACCTAATTGCTTTGAGATCCTCCAATGGAATGCATAATAGAAGGACCAATTTAAATATTTAAAATAATGTAATATTTTAAATTTCTAAAGTGATTTTTTTCTAGGTGGGCAATACTGTTATTTCCAATAATAATACAAAATACTAAAAGTCAGCAAAGATTTAAATTTCTGGAGAATTAATTTTCTTGGCCAAAATTGTTATCAGTATGAATTCTTTATAAACTGCATCCACATTTACTGACAAATTAAGATCTTGGAAGAAAGATATGTTATTACATAAATTGGTACAAAAAGGATATTAGTTCTCATTTTCAACAGTTAGCCCAGTTCTTCAAACCATGGTATGAGCAGTCAAGGTGACTCTTTGTAAGCAGACTGGTATATACATGCGTTCTGTTGATTTGATTTTAATCTTGAACTTAAAAGTTGATTTACTGAGTTTTTGCATACTGTATTTTTCTTCAAGTTTTGCAGGTCTTTGCTCCATTTTTCCATTAGGTTGTTTATTTCACTGAGGACTGTGCAAATATGTTGTCACTGATGAATGTGACAGATTTAATAAGTCAATTCATATTTCATAGAGTAGAAATACTGATTAGAGCGAATTATGAAGAAAGGTGGAAACACTCTTTTATACAGAGTGACAACAAGTGAGTTTCAAAGTTAACATCTTATGCCATGTACCATAAATATGAGTAGACTAAAGAAATTAAGGTAAAAGAGAGAAAAGGAAAAAAAAACCCAACTTGCTTACCAATGATGAATAGTCTGATTTCAGAATATTTATATTTGCATCCCTTTCGTCCATGCATTGACTTCTCCAATCATTTAAAATACTGCCAAAACTGAACTCCCTCCCACCTTGGGGTGAAGTTAGTGTAACAAGCTAGTAAGACAGACTAATATGGTTCAATTATAGCCTAACATCTAAAATCCTTAGCAAAATACTGGCTTCTCACTTGAAGGTCCCAAAGTTGTCCATTCTTTTCTATTCAATCTGATACTGGCACTACCTCTGCATCTGAATACTACTTTTATTTGCATCCAACCTGAAACAGGGGATAATGTACACAAATATGTACACTTTACACGTTTCCCACTTCTCTCACATTTGTACTTCAGTTATTTGATATCCATGACATTATTGAACTATGTAATAAACATTCCCAGCGGCTCAACATGCTCAGGAATTTGGCTAACTATACCCTTTAGAATTCAGACAAGTGATTGACCCTAAGATGATTCTAAGAGCTATAAAAAAAGCAAGTTTGTATTATTAAATCGGATGAAAAAAGACTGAGTGCTGGACTAGTTGTGTCAAACTGGTCATACAGAATCTACACTATTTGCATGTATTACTTCCTTGCTGCTCTTAAAGATACTATCTTTCTACAAGCAATTTAGTAATTGTTTAATAAATAATACAGTAGTATAGTTGACAGGATAAAACTTATTAGCCAATAACACTATAGCTACTGTTTCCTAGACTAATCAGCCAATGGATATGTCCATAGATTGATATGGAAATAAACATCCATAAATATTAAGCAGTTTAATGTGAAAATATCTTAAACAAGACAGTAAGTGTTCTTTACAAGTATAGTATTAATAGTAGGGACTAAGATTTAAATATTCAGTTACATTAATATTTTATACTCTTCACATTTGGAAAGACTGATCTGTGTTGAGGAACTACAAGAGCATATTTCAAATGTACAAGAAAAATTCAAGAGTTAATGATGAAACTGAGCTTTATATACCAGTTCTTAAATGATTTCAGGGGTATTCACTCTGGGGGACATTTATATATAGTCAATAATTGTGTGCTTTTACTATTATTAGATGAGCAGCAAAGAGTCCTGTGGCACCTTATAGACTAACAGATGTATTGGAGCATGAGCTTTCGTGGATGAATACCCACTGGCCACTACATGCATCTGACGAAGTGGGTATTCACCACTCATGCTCCATACATCTGTTAGTCTATAAGGTGCCATAGGACTCTTTGCTGCTTTTACAGATCCAGACTAACATGGCTACCCCTCTGATATTAGATGGTTCACAGAAAACAGGCTGAATTCAAATGTCTTCCAATACTCAGTAAAGCATACAGTGTGCTATGACCAATACATAAACTGAGCTCAGAGGCTTGTTATGTACTCATGCGCTGGAGTATTAACCCACTTTATTGGATCCCATTGCAGTATCTCCGTAATATTAAGCCAGTACACTTCACTCTGGGATTCAATTACTTAAGACTATTTCTAGCAAAAACCAGAAGAAACTGGATGCAGTTTTTTTCCATATCTTAAACAGGTAAATTTCCTTAACGAAGTGTTTTAGCTTAAAAAAATATCTATTTGAGGACTATTTTATATTTACATAATCATTAAAACTATGAATTTCAGCTGTAAGTAAGTTTCCTGATATTTGGGCCTTAAATTGACATTTAATATTACAGAAATGAAAGAGATATAAAGCAAAAGCAACAGAATATAAAACCAGAAGCCAGTTAATGTAAAAGTTCAGACTGTGTGGCTGAAAAAAGCAGAGAAAATTTTAAATCACAAGAATTTTAGAGGAACATACTTAACCCAGACCATTCATCATCAACATGGGGCTGACTGCGGCTTAAATCCCACTGAAAATCAGAAGTACCAGGCTGAGTAACTGGCTCATTGCTAGATCCTGAAAGAGAGCCGAAGGAATACACTTATGAAAATTTTGGAATTTTTGTTAGCTTATAAACTTGGGTCTGTGGTGCTGAGTTCTCTTATTTAAAAATAAAAGGAAGTAACAAGGTAAGGTAAGGTAAGAAAAAGAGGGAGAATCCAGCAAACAAAAGAAAACTTTTATCAGAGAATTCTGAGTGAGCAGGAATTCTGCTCTCTCCCCTTCTCCTGTGCATATTTTAAGTCAGAAGGAGCAAAAAACAATTATCAGGATTTCAAAACTCATTAGATTCACTGTGACATTTCTTGCAATTTGAAGTTCTACATTCAGAAGGACAGACATAAATGTCTTCTGGAGATCCTCTATAGCAGCAGGCTGGCCTGCTAGTCCAGCAGAAACATACTGGACTATGGTACCAAATTTAATCTCTCTTTTTCAAGCCAAGAGAGGGGAACACTGAAGAGTGCACCCAACATTCAGTCACAGTGATAAAGGACACCACAGACTGCCTTCAAAATGGAGCATATTCAGCGGGAAGAGCAGGGACTTGGAGATCCCAGTAAAAGAAAACAAAAAAAAATAGAAATACTGAAACCAAAAGAGAAAATTAAGGGATCACAGGCTATGGAGAAAGAGATAAACACTGACTACACAACATTCCACTGAACCTTGTTTATTGTTGATTGTATATTGAGGGCACAACAGAGTCTTATGAAAATGGTAAAATTACTTGCCTGTAATTCTGCTTTTCTGAAGATCTCTTATAGCAGCGGTTCTCAAACTGGGGTCTGCGGAGGGTACTCCAGGGGATCCGCAAGTCATGTCAAGAGCCGCTGGCCCCGCTGATCAACTCCTCTCCCACCCTCCCAGCGCCTCCTGCATGCTGCTGAACAGCTGTTCCATGGCGTGCAGCAGGCACTGGGAGAGAGGGGGAGGAGTAGAGATGGGGCACGCTTGGGAAGGGGGTGGAAAGAGGCGGGGAAAAGGGGCGGGGTGGAGTGGGGATGGGACCGGGGCTGAGCAGGGGTTGAGCACCCCCAGGGAAAATTAGAAGCCAGCTTGGGGGTCTGTGAAAAATTTTAAATCAAAATGGGGGTCCCTAGGTTACTAAAGTTTGAGAACCGCTGTCTTATAGGATTCTCACTCCTGGCTCTTAACTCTACTAGTTCTTAAGGTTTAAAGGTTTCACCATTGAGTGCAGTGTAGCAGGACAGAGTAAGAGCAATCATCATTGCTGGCTGTTATATGCAATACCCTGTTGAGTACAAATGCTGCCCTCCAAGTGTTACAGTCAGCTGTCTAGATTGTGCAGGAGGCAAAGCTTCCAGGATAAACCAATACTGGTGGAGCATTGAAAGAATGCTAGCAAAGTTTTCCAGCACCCAGAAGACACAGTAGGTGGCAGTGCCCCGAGAGGTCTGAGAAATCTATGAATCCTTTTATTCATTCCCTTCCTTCATGGTCCACTAGGATAAAAGGATTGCCTGAACTTCTCTCTCAACATGTTCATAATCTTTGCAGCTACATCAAATCTCATGCTTCAGGGCTTCAGCCAGTTGTCTGCAGAGGTTGGGAAGGAATTTTTTTCCTGATGCACAACTGGCTTGGTTTATTCTGCTCTGGTTTTTTCCCCACCTTTCTCTAAAGCAGAGATTGGCCACCAGATTGGGGAGATCAGTACTTTGAGGCGGTACAGAGAATCTTGTTCCTCAGATGTCTGACTGATATGTCTTGCTTACACAACTGATTCATTTCTGACCCAAAATCTGGCAATTTCTCCCCAAGTGAGATTGGCAGGGACCTGGAGTGGGGTTTATGACTTCCTCTACAGCATGGAACATTGATCACCTTCTAATCTCATGTGAAGAATTTCCTACCATAGCTGGGATTTTAGGCATTGCTACCACTACCGCGACTTAAGTTTCTCCTATTCTCTGCTTGTGACACACAACAGTTTAATCTACTGAGAACTGATATGTTTAGTCCAACTAAACTCATTGGGCTCAATATAGGAGTATTTGTGGCAAATTTAATATCCTGTGATGTCAGACTAGATCCAAAGGTACTTTCTGGCATTAAATTCTATGAAATTAGATACTGGAGCATCTAACTCAGGTGTTGGAGTGCCAAAATACTGGCTGTAAAGAATACGGTGATGAACACACACAACAGTGCCAGATAAGAGAGACATCCAGGTGGAGACACACCAAAGTACAGCAGAACCCGGTTTATCTGATTTAATTGAGACCAGGGCTAGATTGGATAATCAAAAATTCAGATAATCCAGAGAATGGGAGAGTGCGAGACTGCAGCACTGTCTAACGGACGTAAGAAAGATTGCCCACTTCTGGACCTGTGCACACACTGGTTGTTCAGTTAATACGAAGAGCTGGATAATGGAGGTCAGATAATCAGTGGAACAGTGGAAAAGGAGGTGGAAAGAGTGCCCCAGGAAAGGCAGAAACACTAGAAAAAAGAAACAGCTGAGATGCTTCACAGAACTTGCACGAGCACTCAATGCAACTGCTTCACAAAAAGTTTAGGTAAATATGCCAAGTTGACTGGAGGAATGGGCAAATAAATATGCAACAAAGGAACTCAAAACTGGAATGAGACAAAAGTGCAGTCTCCAACATGCCGCTTCTCCTTTGCGGACAGTGCTCTTCTAGGAGGTGATGCAGTGTTTAGAAAGCAGTATTTATACTTGGCAGAGGTAGCATACAAGAGTTATTAGGAGGTCTAGCTTGCAATCCTCTCTGCTACTGCACCTTTCTAGGGTAAAAAATACTTTTAAGAGTTAAGGGAGTTATTCCAGTATCACACTAAGGAGCTAAGACATAGAATTTACAATCCTACATATATGGTATCTTTAGGGAATTATGTTAATGCTCCTTCATCAGGAGTCTGAAATTGACATCTGCAGCAATGCCCAAGTGTTCCTAAACACAGATTGCTTCTGATGAATGATGAGCAGAACAGGAAGGATCTGGAAAAGACACTGAGGTGACAATCTCATATTTAGTCTAGCTTTTGGGTTTTTATTTATCATTTTGGAGAATGAGGTATTTATTCTAATTGCATAACACTTAAATGTATAATACATAAAAACCAATTCCATGATTAAAGATGTGGCAAATTCTTTTTCTACAATTTAGGCTTAGACTATACTAGCGATTTATGTCAGTATAACTATGTTGCTCAGGGATGACGAAAATCCATACCCCCTGAGCAACACAGTAATACTGACCTAACTCCCAGTGTAGACAGTGCTATG